AATTCATAAACGTCTGTCAGCATCTCCTCTGCTAAATTAAATTACAATATCAATATTTTTTTATTATTGCTGAAAGACTAATGAACGACTAAATGACTTCGTTTAGTTACAATTGTGTTTATTAATGTACCACCGGGCATTCTCTGCCCAAATACATCATCCATACATTCAATATTATAAATTGCATTGATTACAAGAGAGAGAAATTACATCAAAAAAATACAAAGACAGAACATACAAAATAAATAGCCCTGAAATTGATATTGTTTATTATAAATATTACTTTTTGTTTGTTTTGTTTTTTTGCCATCATTACAGACCTGTTCATGTCGTCAGCACTTTGTCGCTATTTATTTTAAACTAGTCTTTTATCTTAGACATAGCCTAGCTTGTACTGTTTTTCTTTTACGACTCAGGAAAGGTGGCCTCCTTATTGAACTTATTCATTTTCATTTATAATTATTAATTTCTCACAGTAATTATTTATATTTATTCAAGTAAGATTGCATCAAATTATTTTTGAAGACATTAATATTTTCATTCAGACACCAGTTCGCCTGCAACGCATTCCATAAATGATAGCTCTGCATTTTAAAAGAAAAATCACCACAGTCAAAAGGTGGCAGCAGAAAAAGTTTGTGTGATCTAGCAGCTCTCGAATGATGCTCATCTCGCAATAAAAATAATTCTTTTAAATAGGGTGGGCTATTTCCATGCAAAGTTTTATGTGTCATAAGAAGTATGTTAAGCTGCATTCGCTCCTCAACTCTGAGAATTCCTGCTTTCACATAGAAGGGTGTAATTCGATCACCAAACTTGACATCATAAACATATCTTAAACAATTATTTAATGCAACATCAAGTCGTTTCAGACGCTCCTTTCTCACATCACAGTAAACTATGCTGCAATAATCTAAATGTGGGAGAATTAAACTTTTTAGCAACTGTAGCCGTACCTTTTGAGGCGTAAAATTGCGAAATTTATTCAGGTTATTCAAAGTGCTGTAAATTTTCTGACAAACAGTTGAAATCTGCTTATCCCATCGAAATTCTTTATCAAAATGAACTCCTAAATTTTTAAACGTGTCTACAAATTCAATATTAGAATTGTTAATTGCCAGCGGAGGAAGAACATTAAAGTTTATTAATTTATTCATTTGAGGAGAGGAAATTATCATAGCTTTAGTTTTTGCTGCATTCAATTTTAATCCATGCCTTTCGGACCATTTTGCCACATCCTGCAAAATTAAATTCATAATTCCTATTGCATCAGCTAGTTCTTTCACTCCACATTCAATATACAGCTGAACATCGTCCGCATACACATGATATTTACACCTGCTCTTAAAAATTCTGTTTATATCAATCATATAAAGTGAAAAAAGAAGTGGACCAAGCACTGAACCCTGGGGCACTCCACAATTTAATTCAGCCCATTTGGAATATTTTCCATCGCTGCCTTTTACTGCTTGCTTTCTGTCAGAAAGATAATTATTAAACCATTGCAAAACAGGCGGTGAAAAATTTAGCTGGGAAAGTTTTCTCAGTAAGAGTTTATGATCAACGGTATCAAAAGCCTTAGAATAGTCAAGAAAAACCATTAAAACAACTTTTTTGCGAAAAAGCGCTGCCCTTATATCCTCGGCTATTTTCAGCAAAGCGGAAGTCGTGCTATACAATTTTCTGTAGGCAGATTGAAATTCGTCTAAATAATTATTATTTTTTAAGAATTCCTGAATTTGTTTGAACACAATTTTTTCAACAACCTTCGATATTGTGCTTAAGAGACTTATTGGACGAAATTCACTTGCTTTGGAAGGGATGCGCACCTTTGGGATTGGACTTAGAATTACTTTTTTCCACGCACTTGGAAATACAGCCATCTGTAGAGATGAATTAATAATATTAGTGAGCGTTGGCATCAGAACACAGCAAATTTTCTTTATCATGCTAATACAAATTTTGTCATGCCCCTCAGCTGCCGAAGTAATGCTGAAAATTGCTTTTTTAATATCCACAGGGTTTGCATAAGAAAAGTGAAATGGTTCGTTATTCTTTATACCTGGAATTACATAGTTATTATCAATTTTAGCAAGCTGGCTTTGGTCGCGCACTACCGTCAGCTCTTCTACCATAATATCTAGACTAACAGGGAGACTTGCGTGATTATGTTTTGATTTTATCAAGCCCATATTTCTAAGTTTACTCCAAATTTGGCCTGAATTATTGAGGGAACTTAACTGATCAAAAACTCGGCTTCTATAAAAGGTTAAAATCAACTGCTTCACTCTGTTTTTAACAGCCCTATAAACATCAAACAGATATCGATTGTTTTTAATACGACGAGCAAGGCTCAGCAGACGATCACGGTGGGATATTTCGGACCTGATTTGCAAGGGAAGTTTTGGTTTAAAATTTTTAGGCACACATCACCTCTGCAGTGGCACAAATTCATTATAAAAATCAATGAGCATTTTATTAAATTTTTCAACTTTGCCATCAATCGTTAGTTCAGCTCCACATAAAAACCATTCAACATTTAACGCCTTCTCTTGTAGAAAATTATTATCTGCTGCAGAAAAATTCCTATACATTGCAAATTCACTCTCAGCCTCAATTATTTTTGAGTCAAAAATCGCAAATAATATTTCATGACTAGATAAAGGATTAAGCAATTTTCCGAAATTAGTACAATTTAACATGTCCGAAACAAAAATAGCATCAATTGTTGTAACTGCATTATATGATATGTGAGTGTCTTTAATAGGCAACCGATTAAGACTTAGATCCTGCAATTCTGTTTCCAGTTCTTTACCTTCACGTGATCCATCTGCAAAATTGTAGTTAAAATCTCCTAAAATAATCAAATTTGCATATTTAGCACTCATTTCATTCAATTTATTCAAAAAATTAGTTAATTTTGTTAGTCTGCTAGGGCGCCTGTAAATTACTGCTACTAAAATATTTCCATTCACCTGCTCCACTTCACACAAGATATATTCTGTAAGTTGCAAATTATTATTTTGCGGAGATGCCGCTAGTTTCTTATATTTTAAACCTTTCTTTAAATAGATCGCTACTCCACCTCCTCGTGCACCTTCCCTATCATTGCGTAAAATATTATAACCAATCACATCAACTAGGTTATCTGCGTGCTTATCTTTGAGCCAAGTTTCTGAAACTCCTATAATATCAATTACTTTTTCAGCTAGCAAGTGACGAAAAAGCACAATGTGGTTTACATCAGCAAGGGATTGCGCATTAAGAAAAATTACTTTGAGAAATTGGTTTTGAGATACATAATCATTAATGCTAATATAATCATTTTTATATATTAAAGAAAATTTTGATTTTAATTTTGCTTCACTCGCTTGTCTCTGCTGCTGCTCCGGGTCGCATCTCCCGCATTCTTTATCCTTCTGCTGCCTGTACTGTTGCTGCGGGGTTTGTGAAAACCCGCGCTCGCAGTTTCTGTTTCAATGGACTCTAAGTCTGCACCTAAATCAGTCGGTGAGTGTGCTCGCTTTTCCGGCCGCGCCTGCAAATTATTATCAATTCCTGATATTTCTGTAAAATTCTGTAGCCAGTTTGGGTCAACTAACACCTCAGGATTAACAAATTTATTTCCAATGATCAGTCCATTTCGCCGAATTTTGCTAACTACACCTTTTTCTTTAGCAGCTTTCGAAGCAGCAACAATTGTACGTCTCACCGCCTGCTCCTCTGGTGTTAAATCGTCCCCTATAGTGACGCCTGTTCCTTTTAGAGAAGCTACTTTAGACATAATTATGCGCTTATCAGATTGAGTTTTAAACTTGACCAAAATAGGCCGCTTAGCCGCATCAGATTTTCCTATTCTATACATTGCTTCAATTTGTGGCAACTCAGTTAATTTAAGCAAGACTTTAGTGACATGATTAAAAGCAGTGTTAATTTCAGTAGCAGTCTTAATTCCAAACACAAGAATATTATTTGCACGAGCCGCTCTCTCCAATTGCGCCAATCTTTTCCTCAACTCTTTATTATCTTCCTGTAAATTTTCCATTATTTTCTGCCGCTCCAAATTATGCTCCTTTATCTCTGAAATGTCTGACGTTATTTGATTAATTTTGGGTCCAAATAAATCCATAAATTTCTGCATTCGTTCATCAACGACTTCTCCAAATGCCTGCAAATCCTCTTTTGAGAGGGGTCCAGGATTTAGTTCCACATCCGAACCACAAAGCAAAATTATAAGCAAATACGCGCCACTTCCTAAAACCGTTCTGAAAGTAGTTTTTAATACATCAGTTGCAAATAGATGTCGCCTATCTATCAAGATAAGCAAAGGTGAGTGACCGGAGCGAACACTGTGTGGCAGCAGCAGGTGAAAAGATGGGGGGTCAACGACCCACCCACCAGCACCAACGCCATGACCTCTCCTCCTTTGCTGCTTCCTCAAGGCCGCTCTGTTTACTATTTTTCCTAAATTACCGTACCAAAACCAAATGGTCCAGAGTGGAAATCTCAGCGGCCTTACATCCGAGGCGGCCGAATCGCAATGCGAATTGAACACTTGGCATTCACGTACCTTATTTGCACAAATTCTACTAGGTTGGAGCTCAAAAGATGCAAAAATCGTCAGAAAAAGTAGCAGCGACTGCACTGCTGCAGCCGTGCATCTGGCCATTTTCCCCCTCCTTTCGTTTATCGTCTCTCTCCTATTTGGCGAGCGTAAATAATTCCTCGTAGGCGAGGTGGATATAACACACAATAATTACTCTATCCACGACACAGAAGCAATCTCAATAAAATAATTGAACATGCTTCCGCGAGCAGCGGCGCGGCGTTTTAACGCATGATTAAATCCGTGAAGCCTTTTAATTCGAACACGTGCATTATTTTTAATGAGACCTAGTTTGATTGATATCCGAGTGCACTGACAAACCCATGCGCTATTTGACATTTTCAAAATTCAAAGTGAACAGAAAAGGTTATAGCTTCCTTCTTATTTGTTCCAGCCAAACGAGTTTCGCCGTACAAAACCAAGAACATCACAGGAAAGATCAGCACCAGAAAGGTCACCTGGAGGAAAACGGGGTGTCTTGGATTAGCCCGCGTCTCTACCACGGGGTGAGTCACTGATTTTTTCTTATATATTTATAATTATAGTATGGGCTGATGTAGGAAATTAATTAAACATTTAATAAAATATGTTAATAGGAATCAAACATTAATTTATTGTTAAGATTAAATTAAAAAAGATAAATTTTCTAGCCCTCCGATAAATGAATATGCCATGTTTTCGTCTCTCTCTGTATCAACAGACCCTTTTTATTAAAGCGAAATTATTTTCCTGCAAAAATCTTACAATACATATTAATGAACTGTAAATTATTTGAATCTAGTTGCTAAAAAGTTTCCATAACCTTTTACGCTGATTTTTTTTTTTAATTTTTAGAGTATTTAAAATTCTTACTGCGAATAATATTATAAAACAAATATTAATCGGCTTTGTACTGAGCTGACGTACATGGCGAGTGTCAGTCAGTAAGTTGAGGGAGCTCGTTGCGAAACATCTCTCGGCTAATTAGTGCGTCCATTGTTCCTGTAATTGATGGTACAGTGCCAGAGAGAAGCTGCACAACGTGCACTCGTGGAAGCTCCAAAGCTGCATTCCGCGTCTGTTCGCCGCCGTGTTCGCCGCTCAACTGCACAATGCACAAAGTTGAGCACCGCATTCGCGTCTGCAACACCTGGCTGATCCGCGTGCACACGAACAACCTGCACAATGCGATATAATATAATTACTTCGTGCATTTGCGTTTGTGCGATATTCCACGAGTGTCTGCCGCACGATATGTAATTAATTAAATAATTAATTCAATCGCTCATTTATCAATCCATCTCTGAACAATGTTATGAGCACTTACAAGAGTGTGAAAATTTACTCTGGGCTCAAAGACAAAAATCGGTTATTAGCTATCATTAATTTAATAGTTGCATTTTTATATAAGATTAATTGAATAAAGATCACCTCGACTTAAAAAAAATTACAAAATAAGCAGAATTTGAATAACGATTTAGAATTTTAAATAATTAGATAATGGTAAATTAATAATATACCATTATTGGATTACAGAAGTAAAAGTGGAAATTAATTAGTTTTTATTAATTACTGCATACAGCAAAAAGTTCATTGAAATTGATTAAAAAAAAAAATAATTCACCCGAATTTATTACTTAATGCTTGACCTAAAATAGAAAAAAAAATAGAAAATAACACTTGATTAGCTGCCAATATTTCTGTTCCTTATTAATTGTTTAAAAAAATTATATTATACCAAAAATAGTAAATAATTCAAATATAAATTTAAAAATTCCATTTCTAGTTTTTTTGGGCTGAAGAATTTATCTTTATGGTGAAAATAAATGTGGCCATCATTTCCGTGAAACAAAGAGTACTAAAGCGGATTCCTGGTACACCCGTGGGACTGAGGTGTGATTTTCGCCTCCACTGACGCGAGGACAAGTTCAGGTAGCCGGGCCGAGAGACAATGATCGCCTATAGGAGGGTCATTAGAATCATCATTGTGCCTTGTCGCTCCTCCTACTGCCGAGAGTTATTATGCCGTGAGCAGTTCCTTCCATTGTCTCTCTCGTGCATTAGTTGATTAAAAAGAAGAGCTGCATCCAAAAGAGCATGGTAATTAGGAGACGTGTATTGTCAACACAGGCATGGCACTCCAGTTGTTGGACGGTCGGGAAGGGCGTGTGGTCGATATATAATTGAATCTCCGGCCGGATTACTTACGATTTTTGGGCCCACTCCGGCATGACTCACGCAATTAGAGCAGACAACAATTTGGGGCTGCCCGCCAGATTATTGAGATGTTCATGCGGCGGCGAAAAGGGTGTGGGTCCACTGCATGGTTGTTGCGCCAACTCGCAGAAAAAAGGTCACAAATCTTCTGACTCACTGCGAGCTCCTGCACTTGTTCTTTTCTCGGGAATTCCCAACAAAACGAATAGCATAAAATTTATATAGCTAGCACTGGCTTTGATATGTTCTGCTTTTTAAACGACTCTTTAATCTCTTCAATATTTTTCTTTAGAATTATAGATTTTTAAATTCCGGTCAAAATTTGTTAAAGTTCAAAATAATTTTTGAATTATTCCGAGCGGATTTAAAAATTCTTTTGTGCATATTTTGTTTCAGAATCTTTGGTTTCATTAAAAGAACAAAATACATGAACATGTCAAATGCATAACTGCTTCGGTTAGAAACTTAACAACGTTTTTATAATTTTATTTTCCACCAGTCAGGCAATAATGATCATATTTAAACTACCTATAATTTAAAAAATAATATTGTACTTTTGCTGAAAGCAACTTACTTTTAATTTTTTTTTGGTAAAAAGTAAAAATTAATGAAACTTTCGTCTGCAAAGAGATTATAAAAAAAATTATTTAAATTTTGCAGGCGCTCGATAAACCATAGAGGTATGAATTTAAAACATTTACATTTTACATCAAGTGTCGCGCCTCTGCTTCGGAAATTCCACTTGCAGAGGCAGCGACTCGCGAGAGCGAAAATTCCGCCCCAGTTCGTGTTGAGAAAGGGGTGCTCGCAAATTTCCTGTTGGTTGGTAAGCAAAAGGAAAAGCGGCGACAACGAGCTGATAAACGTATGTGCGCCGTAAAACACGCCGCGACCGCGCTGCTGGCAAATGAGTTCAAGTGCACCCTTTTGCTTCCCGCAGGAAGCCGCTGATGACTGAAGGTATGCAGCCAGCCATACGTCTCGCAAACTGCGACAAATCACCCTCGAGCGATCGGCCTGGAATGGAAAATTTTATCTCTCGCTCGGTGCGGCTCTGCCCGTTATGACAATGCAGAGTGTCCCCTTCGCTCAATTTTGCATCAGAGCAGCGCCTACGGTCGTTTCATAGTCAGATAAAATTTGTCGTTTACCTCTCTGGAAAAGAAAGAAGAAAGAGCGCAGCAGGATGATCACCAACTGAATTTACGTGCGGGTCGAACCGCCCCCGTGGGTGTCGCACCCTCTCCACAATGCCTGCTGTGATATATTCGGTTACCCTTTGGACTTTTTGGTGCTCGCTCTTTTGCTTTCGTGCTTTAGTTTTTACTTTTAATTAAAGAAATAAATTATTAAATTGATTGATGTTCCAGAATTTGGAATTTTTTAATAATTTTTATAGAGATCGATAGGAAATAACTTATTTACTCACATTGATTTCCTATTCACAATTTTAGAGATCAGAAGTAATTTAACAATATATGGTATTACAGTAACGATGTTATTTTCATTCTCAATATTTTGTTATTGATAATCAAAAACTGTCAATACAAATATAGATTTTATTAATTTTTATTTTTTATTTGAAACTTACGAGTAAGATAAGTAAGAAAATAATTTTAATATATGAAAAATTATCAATAAAAAAAATTAATGCTTTAAACTTATATTACTCCAAGATGACTACAAACTCACTACAAAACGACTGCAAGCGACTCCAAGTTGACTACAAACTCACTACAAAACGACTGCAAGCGACTCCAAGTTGACTACAAACTCACTACAAAACGACTGCAAGCGACTCCAAGTTGACTACAAACTCACTACAAAACGACTGCAAGCGACTCCAAGTTGACTACAAACTCACTACAAAACGACTGCAAGCGACTCCAAGTTGACTACAAACTCACTACAAAACGACTGCAAGCGACTCCAAGTTGACTACAAACTCACTACAAAACGACTGCAAGCGACTCCAAGTTGACTACAAACTCACTACAAAACGACTGCAAGCGACTCCAAGTTGACTACAAACTCACTACAAAACGACTGCAAGCGACTCCAAGTTGACTACAAACTCACTACAAAACGACTGCAAGCGACTCCAAGTTGACTACAAACTCACTACAAAACGACTGCAAGCGACTCCAAGTTGACTACAAACTCACTACAAAACGACTGCAAGCGACTCCAAGTTGACTACAAACTCACTACAAAACGACTGCAAGCGACTCCAAGTTGACTACAAACTCACTACAAAACGACTGCAAGCGACTCCAAGTTGACTACAAACTCACTACAAAACGACTGCAAGCGACTCCAAGTTGACTACAAATTCACTACAAAACGACTGCAAGCGACTCCAAGTTGACTACAAACTCACTACAAAACGACTGCAAGCGACTCCAAGTTGACTACAAACTCACTACAAAACGACTGCAAGCGACTCCAAGTTGACTACAAACTCACTACAAAACGACTGCAAGCGACTCCAAGTTGACTACAAACTCACTACAAAACGACTGCAAGCGACTCCAAGTTGACTACAAATTCACTACAAAACGACTGCAAGCGACTCCAAGTTGACTACAAACTCACTACAAAACGACTGCAAGCGACTCCAAGTTGACTACAAACTCACTACAAAACGACTGCAAGCGACTCCAAGTTGACTACAAATTCACTACAAAACGACTCTCAAAATGCGCTAAAACACGCAAAGCTCGTTCTCCCTTCATATTTATATACCACCTCGCTTAAACATCCCAACAATTTTACCATCAATAAGCCGTCAACTATTTCGACTGTTGAACCAGCTGACCTTGCTATCAATTTTGAAACAAAAAGGTCAGCCGCTAGTAATAAAAACATAAATAAATAAAACCAAGTCAAACATTTTCTTGACTTTGGCTGAGCTGAGTGTTCATTGCAGTTGCACTTTTGACAGCCGGCAATACTTGATTTGATAGCCATACGAAAAAGATGTATTTGCCCAAATTAACTTTGACGAAAAGGTATTTAAATATTTGGGAAACCTTAAGATGAAAGAAAAGCAAATTCTTTTTTCTTTTACTTTTTCACGTTCACTAATTTTTTTCCTTTTTTATTTGTTAAGTGTAATTAAAAAAAAAAAAATTGGCGAATTTAATTTATCTACAAATAAAAAATAAGCTTGAGAATTTTAATTTTTCAGAGTTGAGAAATTTGAAATTTCACGTGCAAAAAATTTCAATAGAAAAAAATCCTTGCATAATTTCGCTTTGATGAAGAGGTCTTTAGAAATTTCTGAGCAAAATAAATATGCAATTTTAAA